ATTTTTCAGGCATTGGGTGTTCCCTGCTGCTTGGACTGTATTATCCTGCAGAGAAAGGGATGCTGTAAGATAGCGTGCAAAGAGTAAAACCCCTTTCATCTCCGCATTCAGTGACATCTGCCAACGGAAGAAACTCTATTGGAGCAGCAGCAGTTTTCACCGGGAAAACGCTCTGACTGGTGCTGTCTCATGGGTTGGACAGGCACCATCCCCTCTGTGTCTGTCACACCTCCCGGTTTTGACGACATGACTCCAGCTTAGAAATTTATATTCATGAGGGCAAATAAGAATGCAATACAACAAAGTGATACAACACAGAGCTCCCACTACAGCCTCCAGTGCAAAGTCTTTCCTTGTACTGTACTGCATAGTTTATACTGTACGGCATACATTTTTTATGACACAGATACCTACCGGGAGTGCAGTCAATAACTTGAACACCTGTAAAATTCAGTGTTTCAGAAAGTCGGTTATTGCTCTCAAGTATGTGGTGAGACTTGTGGTATTGATGCATTTTCTTTGCAGCCTGTTTGGAGCATTAGCTATACAGCATTGATGCATTTTCCCTCTATGGAGCATTGTCTACCACAATTGTGGTCCAGCATCCTGGCAGGCTAAACAAACACTTTACTTTAACTCTTTCACATTATCACTGCAACAGTATTTTATTGATATTTTATGTGATGTACAATGGTGCTTGTAAGCATGAAGCTGAACAGGAATGTGGTATTTTCAAAATGTTTTAAATATAAAGTTTAGTGTGCTTCTTTAAAAAAATAAGGAAATTAGAAGACAGATTTTAAATAAAGTTGCAAAGAAGTATAAAAGGTTAGAAGTTATACATCCATATTGCATGCTTTTGATATTTCATACAGTCCTTTGCCATTAATCATTGGAGAATATAAAGAATATGGAGCAACTAGAACACTTATCAAGACATGGCTTTTCTGCCTAAACTACTAGATGAGCAGCAGTTACAGTTAAAAGCAGCCATATTAACTCTGGAGGAGCAGAGTTAAGGGTGTAAAGGGGTTTAACTGTAAAAGGGAAGATTACCAAAGCGTTGAAGGAAATTGTCTAGAAGTCCTTTAAGCAGTGTATCCACAAAACAGATAAGACAAAAGGAAAAGATATAAAGTGATTTGATATTTAGGTCAAAACCCTATGGGCCTGATCTTCAAAATATACAAAGGAGTGGTAAATTGCTTGTGCAAAAACAGAGTTAGTGGGTCTGTTAAAGGTGATCTACAAGGCTCCTTGTGCAATGGATAACAGAAGCAAGTTTAACTGGGAAAACAGTTTGCTACTGGGAGTTTGGGGGAGCAGGGGAGCTGTAAATGAAACATGAATATTAAAGCTGTGGACTATAAAAGTAAAAAAGCTAAAGTTAAATATATATATAAGTTATAAATAATAACTATTATTATTAAACTTGACGGTGCTAAAAATGAATCTTTGGGTAAGGCATGTGTTGCTGCTCAAAGAGAATCCAAACAAATGACTGCCCTGAAGATGCAATATGATCCAACAGCTGAATCTTTAGACAGATACTGTATGAGGCGGAGGGGGAAAATAGAAAATCATAGAAAAGGGTTAACAATAAAGAAAAAAAACAATACAGAAAAACAATAAAACATCCCCCAAAGAATCGAATCCACACCTTTGTGAGACTACCTCAACAAAAGCTATTGTGATCTTCCCTTTACAGCTATTCATGCTACAGCTGCTATTAAGAGGCTTACACAGATGCCTGTGCACAAAGACTCATAATCTGGTGTAAGTAGAACAAAGTGTGGGGCCCAGAAAATGGAAATTAAAATATTACAGTCTGATGAGCTGTCTTTCATCCTCCTTGCATCATGTTGTAGAGAATCACTTGCTGTGATTTCTTTCATGCAGTCATTTGGTAGCATCTCACATCTTCTCTTGTCACCAAATGGAAAATGAAAGTTTTATATTCTGCAGCACAGAGTAGATTCCTTCTTCTGTCATCTGAGATATCAGGGCTTTTCCTGCAGTCGGCTGCAATAACTGAGCACACAAAACAAACACTTGATCCGTCTATGGTGAGAATTTGATTGAAAGCTACTTCTGGAAACCTGATTTACTGCAGCATTGATCATGTTTACAGTAAAACATGGAACTGTTCTGTATTCTTGGAAATTCCCTGGGGAAACGTGAGCATAATGTTTTCAATTGTATATGGTGAAAGGTGAAAAACTAATAATCCATAACACATTTTAACTATAAAGACAAAGTAAATCAAGGCCTAGCATTTTTTGTACAATCAGAACTTAAGGAACACTAGATTATTCTGATATGTTATTTTGAAAAAAAAAAAAAGGTCTAAATATAAAATTAAAATCCCTCTGATGAAAGGCTTAAAAAAGGTTCGAATTGACCATCCAAGCCAGAAATAGTAGTGGTTTTTAACTACAAGCTGTGCACTACCAAATTACCTTATAAAAACCATTATGGCTTTAAAAAAAATTATTTCAAACTCCAATATGTGTTAGATTATTTGGCAGCAGAATTATTTCATGTTAAAAACAACATGAACCTGCAGTGACGCAGTGGGTAGCACTGATGCCTTGTAGACAGAAGGATTCAGGTTCGATTCACAGTCTGGGGTTTTTCCTGCATAGAGTTTGCATGTTCTCCCTGTTCATGTGTGGATTCTCTCCGGGTACTCTGGCTTCCTCCCACAGTCCAAAAATATGACCGTTAGGTTAATTGGCTTCTCTTAATTCTCCTTAGGTGTGAGTGTGCATGGTTGGTTGTCCTGTGTGTTGCCCTGCGATAGACTGGCGACTTGTCCAGGGTGTAACCCGACTCTCGCCCATCGACAGCTGGAGATAGGCGTGTCAAAAAAATGGATGGATAGTAAAAATAAAGTGCAGTTAGATCATTTAACATCTTTTAAATTTTTTTTTACAAATGTTATAAAATTGTGTTTTACACAAGGTCATCATTGGACTCGTAATTTCATCAGCATGACGAGATTTCACCAGCCTACCATGTACACACTGTAGACAATATTAAAATAACCACATTATCTAAAGGATGCAACAGAAACAGATCAGTAGTCGAGACATCACACCGAGTTTATCCACATCGCTTTGCTTTGACAGATTCTGATTTATTATCTTTAATAGTAATGAAAGAAATAAACTGAAACAGTTACAGTCTATCAGACATCAGAGGTTCTTTAAGGAACAAAAGTAGACAATTGATTGTGGCAGCAGCAAAATGACAGTGACACTGGGTCAGATAAAGGGTGATTAAAGGCTCTAATTCAGGTGCACAACCTTGTTGCTTATAATGTATGCAGAGTGATCCTCTCTGAGCGATTTGAGAGGTGGAGAAAGGCCTTTCTTTTTGAATACTTAAACAGAAGCAATGACATGTTCATGATACTTCTGACTAAACACAAGAAAATGGTGTTGAATATGAATGTGGCTTCCTTTAGCTGCGGGGGAGGCAGATCAGAACCCGCCATATGCTACAGAGTAAACCTTAAATGACAAAGTCTGAACCGATTCAGATGGGCTGGATCATAATAAGCAGAACATTAGCATTTATCTCCAAATAAAAACTACTCTGTCATACTCTTCTCATCTGGATGCGACCTAGAAAATGATCAAGACCATCCAAAAGCAACAAGGGAGTCCAAAGAGAGTCAAAATCGAGAATATATAAAGGCTGGCAGGAGATTTTTTTATCACAGTTATTTTCGGGACATAATATTTTACATTTTATGAGCGTGTGAGTTCAGCTGTCAGTTAGCATCAGTGCCATTTCTCGGTTCATTTAAGTTAATCAATAACCTTCTCACTCAGCAGCACTGCACCGCTCTTAGACATGTTCAATAATCAAGCAAGTTGAGACAAAAGTCACAAAAGTCAGATTTAATTGAAAGAGGCACGCATAGCTCTGCGTGCGGATTTCGGCTTTGTTTTTTTTTGCAGGAACAATCCCATGGGAATACAACAGCACCTAATGAGCATAGCATAGATAAATCACACTACTTCTTAGGGTAGTGAAGTGTGCCAGTCTCATGTATGACAGTCTTCTGCCTCAAAAAGGGTATATCGAAAATCAGTCAATAAGGCAAAATTTTGCTAATAGCTTAAAAATTGTACAAAGATTAAATAGACAGGTTTTAAAATTGCAAGTAATTGCCAGCCAAAAGCAAAGCTACCAATAATTCTGCACTACATTTTAAGTTAAGTAGGTAAAAAACGACCGAAAGACTGAATTCAAGAAAAATATAAGGAAAGAAATGTGTAGCGAAAAGGTAGTGGGAAAATGTATTAAAAAGTAATATTGATTATGTACTCCATATTGCCTTGTATGGAGGACAAAGAAATAAAAAGGCTAATGTGAAAAAATATAGTCATTTTAAGAAGTTTACCTCAAGCCATTTTGGGGACACAACTAATGTGTAAAAAGGTGCTTTAAATAAATAATGGAAAATTAACAGCCAGAAGACATAAGGCCTACTGGTATGATAGTGGCAGCATCACGTGCGGTAATGCTCTGAGCAAACAAATATACCGTATGAACATATCTAACAATTCTGTTGAAGTCCAGATCTTAATCCTTCCAATAGTCTGTCGTAAGAATTGGAAATCGATCTTTGTTTACATCATAAAATCTGAATAAGCTAGGTAGTGTAAAAAGAAAAACTGTGCATCAATTTCAGTCAGAAAATGTATATAAAAAAACAACAAAAAACATCTAAATGAGTATCCCAAAAAAAATTACTGACTGGCTGTCAACAGTGTAATTTTAAGAGTTCCTTTTATTAATAATCTGGAAGGACCTTATAAATTTACTGTCTGTACAAAGAATTCAAATATATAGATTTAGAATTCAGTGTCAGTTTGTCAAGAGAAAAAAAACTAAAAAGCTTAAGAGTATGAAGACTGATGTGAGACCATTTACATAACCTGTTTATATTTAAACAAATGTTAAATGCTAAAATATGACTTAACTCCTTATTTATTGCAAGTGACTCTTTATTTGGATCCAATAACAATGAACAAAGATAGGTCACAGGTGTTTACATACATGGACATATTGATGTTAAGGTGTTCCAGTTAATACACATTTCTTTCTGTATTCTATATCTATACAAACAAATTACTTCTGTTTCTACAAATCTACCCGTCTAAAACACTCCTATTTTCTTTGATCATTATGTTTGAATAAATGAGTGCTGGCTGCCTTACAGTCGCTGGGTGTATTTTTCAGATGACACGCCAAATGCAACCAAGCTGAGAAATAGCTGCTGGCTAGAGTCGGATGGACTGGGCAGGGCTTTTGATTTTTAGCATCTAGCTGCTTGGATGGGTCGGAGGCTTCCCAAATGGACCACTCTCAAGCAAATGGGGTTACACACAGTCTAAGGTTACAGATGGTATTTTGAAAGCACACAATTGTATGATGCCTTTCTTTCATCCCCCTTTATTCAGGAGAGGGCTTAGAGGCAAAAAAATAGGGTTTGGTTGGTGTGCAAGGTTGACACTTTAAGATGAAGGTGATTGTTAACACTCAGTTTGAGCTTGGAATCTGTTCTCAATCCCAGCCTCTGTGGAGACAATCATCCTCTAATAACAGTAATCTATCTCCTCGTTGGCCAGGACAATAGCTGTTCTGCAGGGGATGTAGACCTGAGAAAGAAAGAGACAGAGAAAAAGAAAGAAAAGTGAGACAATTGAAGATTAATGATGTTAACAAGATCACCAATTTGGAGATTACTGAATCTTCAGGTTTATTTTATTCTTTTTAGAAGTGACACACAGACACCTGGTAGTGTCTCATGGTCAGACATGGACAGCTTTTTCCCCCTTTTCTTTTTAACCAAGGTCGATGTGTCAGCTTGGGAAGGATGCGGAGGAGGAGGAAAGACAATGAAGAGTGTAGGAGGTGTATTCACATGAGAGCAATAAAAGAAAAAAAACTTGATAGGAGACAAACGCTACAGCTTTGATCAAAGTGAACAGTCAAGGTTAGAAAGCCATAATCAACGTGACAGGCTTGCAGCATGTCGGCCTCTGGGTGGCACTAGAGTCAGCAAACTGAACTAAAGGGTATCAGAGTCAAAATTCCAAAACTACACTCCTGGACAAAATTTATATGGAAACTTAAAAAATAATAATACACCAACATTTGTACAATTGCCTAACAATATCTAAAAGTTACCAATAGTGTTTAATGTTACATTAGGCATGCAGTTTTAGAGTGGAAACCCAACAACCCTATGGCTTCCCACCGATCGAGACGAAAAGGTTTAGTAGCAGAGTTAAAAAAATGATGTGGAAAGATACAAAGATTGTAGTGGGGATGTTTACATTAAAGTATTTAAGGCAAAGGAGGGAAAGAAGCTATAAGGAGCCGCAAATCCGAGAAGACAACTCGGAGATGCAGAGGCAGGGAAAAAGAAAGGGGAGAAGAAAACGGTGACTGAAACTCGTATGATGTCATTTTGTTTTTTTCCCCACTTATTGCTCCTTTGAAGCAGTACATAGAAATATATCAAATAGCAGAATTAAATATTTTTCATAGCTTTTAAATTGAGCCACAAACCACCGTGGTTTGTAAAAGCAAAGTTGGCCTTATGGATACCGGGAAGCGTCTTTGTGTAAATCCTTGACAATCTGTTATTAAATGGAAAAAATGAGAGAAGTATGAAAATTCACTGGATGGTCTTTAGACTCGGTAAACAATTTTTGTATGCTTCATGCAAATCAACATAGGCATTTCACCCTGGTGAGGTTCGCACAAAGCAAAGCTGCAATTGGAAAAGTATTTTTCAATTTATTTATAAATGTAACACAATCATATTCTTCGAAGGAAAATCCTCTAATTGCGAGGACTTGTTGACTCTGCAATCCCTCACACAACATGTGGTGACAGTGGAGAGAAAAACTCCCTTTTAACCTCCAGCAGAACCAGGCTCAGAGTGAGCGGCCATCTGCCGAGGCCGAATGGGGTTCAAGGAGATGGAAGCCCCGGCACAAGACTGGCTACGTTCAAATTGGCTACGTTGATGCTTAATTCAGTTTTTTTTTTTGCGAAATACGATTTTATTATATTTCCAAATATATGCGACTTGTATGTGATCTCCTGTGTGAACTGCAGTCATACAACGCAAGCAGTAGGGGACTCAATGACGTCACTGGCCAGCATGCTCTTTTTTTACGGAAGTAAACATGGATGGTAGCGCCGGCACGCATCTAGCGGTCTTTTCCAACCATAAAAACACCATCTTTTCCATATGGTTAAACATAAATACTGCTCTCCACATCATCATCCACCATGGTTGTTGTTTTTCTTGCCACTTCTGTGTAGCAAGACGCAGAATAGTGACCTTTGTCGGGTATTAATGGCGTTCAGGTCGGATAAATGTGACCTGGCCGTTCAGACACAGGTCGCATTTGAAAAGATCAGATTCGTATCGGATTCAGGAGCACATAGCCAAGTGGCCTGGGTCGGATCAGAAAAAATCTGATCTGTGTTGTTCAGAGAGCCATGAAAAGATCAGATGCCCATTCGCATATGGGCAAAAAAATCGGATATGGGTCACTTCAGGCTGCCTTTGATGCTGTGAATCAACATTCCCTTGGATGAGTAACCTAGAACGGATTAGAGTAGTCTTCCTCCGGGGCCCGGACACTGGTGGTGGAATAAGCCAGAGGGTGAGTGGGACTAAGAATAGTCTGCGATGGGAAGGGAGCCAAACGTGGATTGTTAGCGGTTCAATCAGTGTTTGAAAAACAGGCGGTAACCGGCTATTTTCAGTGGGAAAGGGGCTTAAGATTATAGACCAGCTACTTAAACAGCTGGTTTTCTTCATGTCCAGATTGGTCAATGCAAGCAGTAAAAGTAAATAATATATAGATATCTATTTATTTGGAGTTATAACTATGTTGTAAAGTCTTTCTTTTAGCCTAGTTTAGGATGGGAGCTAAAACAGCTTTTGCACTTTTTACCTCACATGGTCAAGCAGACTTCTCATATAACAGCTTTTTTATTATTATTATTATTATTATAGCATTTTGTTTATGATTCAAAATTAAATTAAATCTTTTTACAATTAACAGAAAATTCAAATTAAGTTTATATTATACTTATAATAATTTTATTTCCTTTTTTTAACTTGATTGATTTGTTCTTTTTTACAATCCAATCTAATTTAGAGTAAACACCATTAAAACGATTTGTGTGTTCTTAATGATGGGGAGCTCTTTAAATCCATAGGTTATATGTCTTTAGGTTTAACTGCAGTGGGTTTTGCAAAGTAATTATTGGAGAACTTCCACAGGATGTGGTCCACACAGCGTAATAAAAGGGTGAACAACTCTTCTAAGACCTATTACAGCAACAGAGGAAATATATATTTTTAAAAGAACATTACTTTTATAAATGGGGAAGGTTATTAGATATGACTATGCTACATTATATGCAATCATTGGAATGTCATTTGTACATCAGAGGCTTCTAAAAAAAATTCATCTAGCAGGTAAAAACATTTTTTGCCATTTCTTTTTCTCAAAACAGGTCTTACAAGGTGAGCCTGTAGAACTTTATTTGTTGCTTTCTCCAACAAAGAAAGGACATTTTAATGTTGAAAATCCTTTAAAGCGTTCAATTGTTGAGTCAATTTGCTCAAAATTGAAATGATTACTTTTCATCCAAAGCCTTTGCCTTCACCAAAAGAGCAACTTTGCTTGAATTGGAGGCACCATGTCTTCTGGAAAAATAATCTCCACATTTTCCAATCAATGCAATAACTGTTTCTAATTATCTCCAAATACTGGCTGTGTATCTAGTGCAAATATGGGTTTGTGTGAAGAAGCACAATCTGCCACTGGGCATAAGCTGATCTAAAAGAAGCTCTGTGGACTCGGCAGGGAAAACAAACAGAGCCTGCAAATGTCAGACTGCCTACATATATACAGTACAAAGAATCAGCCAAGTAAGGGCCTCATTTTCAAGCCGTGTGGCTAATAGAGCCTATGATCAATCCTTTTGATATTCAGTGACATTTAGAGGCAAGAAGCCATCGTGTATCATTAGTCACAGATTCATGCCAAAGGAAAAGCAAGACAGACATAAATGATGCGATATTTCCCCAACAGAAAACTAAAAAAAGGGAGCAGAGTTGTAAACAGTTCAATCACCCCACTGAACTCTCCTAGCCGCCCCTCGGCATCAGAAGATCTGAGCTCGCCGTGGATGCGTTTCTTTGGCAACAGTTTGTCATTGAGGGAGTCGAGCAGCCCGCCGCTGAAACACTGACACAGACATTGGTGCCTAATTAAACAGTCACAGTGGGAGAGTCTGCATGCAAAGGCATCACAGAGGGAAGAAAAGCCAGAATGAATCGCTGCACCTGTTCAGACAAAAGCTACCACTGCGCCAAACCTGGAGTATGTCAACAGCTTTTATTTCCACTAAACGGATAGTGTTTAAATAGATAGTGTCTTGTTTATCAGAATTACAATCCTAAGAATTAGTGTGACATATTAAAAAGAAATAATACATTAAATTATCTAAAATAATCTGGATATGTTTTACTGCAATTCATTATCATAAATATTCAAAAAAAGTGTATTACTAATTAGATAAACTGGACAATAATAGTAAAGTTTATGTGTACAATACAGGTTCAAACGATAGGAGGAAGGAACAAAATAGCAAGGCACACTGCAAAAAAAAATCACTTTTTTTTTAAATAAGTGCATTTGTTCTTGAGTTTAGGAGGTAAGTGAAACACCAATGGAACAAGACAATTTACATTTAAAATAAGAAAAAAACAAACAACTGCACTGTCTTATTTCAAGTGCATATTATCTTAATATAAGAGGAACAAATGAATTCCATTCACAAATAATTTATTTTACCTACTCAAATTAAGGGTAAATACACTTAATTTAAAAAATTTTGACTTATTTCTAGAGCGTTTCTGCAGTTCATTGGTTCCAATATAATAATATGCTTGAAACTACCTTTGGAAAAAAAAAACATGAAATTGTTTTAAGTTATCCCATTATTTTTTTTTTTTTTATCATGAAAACAAAGTCGAAACTAAAGAGAGGTTTTAATTCTTTGGCACTGAATACTGAATGATAATTTGATTTTAATTGGGCTTTTATTTTAAACAAAAGTCAGATTTTCGATGTTAAGTCAACAAACCAGAATTTTAAGTCAACACTGGCCTTCAAAATCCTGGAAGGATTTAACCAGTTTGAAACATACAGGGATCTGTCACAATAAACAGTTGACATGCTGGTATTAAAACTCTAACACATCAATGTGCTGCTAACCTGTTGTTAACCGCTGTTAACATTACTGAGCTTGGAATCAGGATTTAATGTTTTTTTTTTTTTTGCATGGTATTTGCTTATAGTGTTTAGCTTAGTTGGTAACATTAGTAATGATCTAAATCTGAGTTCCAGCTTTGAGTGTCAATGGCACAAAGCATTTAAGACACTTTAGTTTAAAATTGTTTTAAAAAATAACTTTATTTTGAGTTTTTTTTTTTTTTAATGAATGAAGCAACATTAATTACTGTATGCTTGAACAATTCAGGATGTTATTTTAATGTTATAATTTTTAGTCTAAACATTACTTTAAACCTCTATAAAAACTATCACAATTCAATGAG